GACGGTACCCTTAGCGTGAACCCGAATTCTGGATGTCGAAGAGCCTCCATCGCATGACAGAAACACGGAGCAATGAAGTCCTCAAGAGCAGCTGGGGATTTTCTGAGCTGTCAAGGTGACACAGCCTCAAAGCAGTCGGTGCTGCTCAGCGGGACGAGACAAACACAGCTGGTACCTGGAGGAGATTAATTCCAAGAGTCATCTTGGCTGGGAGACAGGGAGAGATTTCGAGACACCGCGTATGTGGGGTAAAGAAAATAAGTAGTTCATTTTCTTAGAGCATTAAGCTGTAATGGCTGTCAAGGGGGATTACTGATATTGTTATGCCAGTGTCAGCACATGTTGTAGAACAGCTAAATTTTAAATTTCCATACTTGCTTAATTTAATGTTCGGATAATCTGACAAATGAAATAGGAGCCTCAAAGACGCTTTTTTTTCCCCTCTTCCTTTAAAAAAAAATCATTCTATTAAGAATGTTAAATTCTTGGGAGCAAGAGTTGGCGTTCACTGAGGGCACATACTAATCTCATTTATGCTGAGATTTGCTTTCTGTTAAGCAACAGAAAAACAGCTAATCAAGCATAATTCAATAATACATCATCTGCAGATGCAAAGACTCAGAAGATTGGTATGGAGCTTTGCCTACTAAACACGAACTGATGATCTAGGCCAGGTGCATTTAATTGCTCGTGGGGTGTGGGCGCACACCTAAATAACTCTGGGAGCTCCTCCCCAGCTGTGGGCTAACTGCAGCCTGGGGTGGCTTCCAGCACAGGGCGAGCAGCATCCATGCTCCAGCACCATCCATTGCCACTGGGCAGCCAAGGCAGGAGCCAGCTCTGCTTGAGCTGCCAGCGCCATCCAGCTCCTCCAACCCCGCTGCCCAAGGCACAGCCAGTTGCTGAGGATAACATCAGCTGGTGACACTGCCATGTCCTCTGCATCACAACACAAGACGCAGTGAAGAATCTGTCACAGCGCAAGGCGTTTCCAGATAGCACCAAAATGACTTTGCAGAAAGCCTCAGATGGAAAAACATGGCTTGCTCCGCTATTCCCATAGCTGAATTTTTGCTATTCCATGCTCAATGCCACTATGCATCATGAAGAACCCACGGTCACGGGCTGACCCGTTCATTCTAGAGCTGTCTGAAAGAACGCATTTCTGTTTTGGGGGAGGGTTCAGTGCTCCTTTTCCTTTTTTCACTCAGATTCAAGGCAAAAATATCAGGTGCTTGAAATCCCCTAAGAGGACAGGGATGCAGCCTGGGAGAGCTGCCCTGGGCTGCTGCCGCAGTCCTAATGTCCCAACTCCTCATTAGAGACACTGTGCCAAGGACCTCCAGGAGAGCCCTCCAAACCTGTAAAATCAGAAACATCCCCACTGCACACACTCTTTGGCAAACCTGCAAATTCCATCCCCTAAATGTTTTTTAAGCGCTACTACTAAGCAGCTTCATAGATCAATGTCAACAGTAGGGTAAAAAAACCTCATGCTTCAGACTAACTTAAAAGAAACCAGGTACAACCTCTTTGCCAACGCTGCTTCTGGCCAATATCTGATACATAAGAAAAAGCCATCTAGGGAGGCTGGGATGGAAAAACCACTGATAACGGATGGACTCGCAGAAGGACGGTGCTGTGCACGAGGACACGATGGCACACAGACCCATACACACACAAACAGAAGACAGAGACGTCTCCCTTTGTTCTCCATCCCGTTTTGTTTTTAATGTTCTATGCTAATTTCTACAGAATTACTACGGCACATTTGTAAACACACATGAAATGCAGACAGCTCTCTGCAATCACGGCTGTCTTGGGCTATTAAGTATAATATTTAGCTCAGCCAGATGCCACCAGAAGTTCGCCAAGCCCATAAAACAAGCTCAATCACATATTTCTGAAAACGAGAACGTGAAGCCATTTTGGAGGAGTTTACATCTATGTTTGAGCATTTGTTTCCTCCCATCTGGCAAACTCACTCCCAAGGCAGAGAGCTGAAGCCCAAGGGAAGAAGTTTTTGCATTCAGTCATCTCCCAGCAACACCCTCTCAGAGCAGGGCTGCTGGCAGTCCCCTTGGATGGAGCTCATTCATGTACCACTTCTAACTGCAGAGGCAATTAGAGGAGATGCTATTGCTTTTGATGGCACTCAGAGGAAAGCAGAACCCCGAGCTCCCTGCTGGCTGCAAGCCCCAGGGCTGGCTGCTCCCAGCAGCCCACACATGCAGCTCTGCAGGTTTTCATGATGCTAAAACCCAGCACTGTACCCCTTGGGGCTGCAGAAAAGAACTCCACAGAGGGAAGGTAACCCCACCGGATCCAGACCCACAGATACAGCTACACACGGGAACCTTCCCACACTGAGCACCTCAGTCAGATGCCTCATGGGGTGGGGATTCCATAGAAAAGCCTGAGGCCAGCTGTGCCAGGGCTGTTCTTACCTGCAGGTGTTCCGAGCTCAAGACACTCACAGTGCTTGCTTTGTGTGTCAAACTGCACCACGAGCTTCAGTTATCCCATGGCAAAACACAGCAGGAATAGGAAAGCAAAGGCCTTCAGCTTATGGCATCTCTCAAACTGTAACCTTAGAGAGTCTTAAATTATGTCCTGACACAAAGCGCTGCAAAGACCAGAAACCTGGAAAGGCACAGGAGGCACCCAGGACAGCTGCACCAGGAGCTGCCAGACAGACAGCCAGGGCTCCATCCAGCCTGTGTGCCAGCTGCAGCGATGGGCATCAACAGCACAGACAGAAATGTGCCCCAAGAGAAGGTGGGAAGCATTCATCCTTGCTGGGAACGATGCTCCCTGTCTGAGCCCATCACTTGCTCTGACATTTCCAACTCCACAGCACTGAGCACAGCGATGCTCATCCTCTACACAACCCCAGCCAAGGATGTTCTCTTTTATATCATCCATAGGAAGCATTAGACGGTTTAACAAACATTTCTTTTTATTCTATTTTTTAACAACTCCACCAATGCTCAGCAGCACGAGTCCTGCTGCAGCTCTTTCATTGGTGTGCACAGAAGCACACACACCCCGTCCAGCTTTGCACCCCTTAAGAGATACCACCCCATCAGAGATACAACAGGAAGCACCCAAGCTAAACCAGCAGCTCAAAGCACAAATCCAACCAAGGAGGAATCACACCAAGCTCCTGGCAGAGGGGCTGGCACCACAGGCAGCACAGGGACAGCAGCTCCATGTCCCTTCCCCAGGAAGCCCGCAGGACGGGACATTGGGTTCCTGGTCTTGAGTTTATCCATCAGGCTGAGCTGCTTGGCCCTGCCCGGAGCCAGAACACATGTTTGTGGGATACACAGACTGCTTGAAATAGAGGCCACAGAGGACCCATTAGAAATTCAATATTAGCTTTGTAAAATTGCTAATAATTAGCTACAGCTCTTTTCTCCATCACAGCAGCTGGTGACATGAAAGTGATTAAGTTTCTAATGAATAGATTAGGGTTACTGAATATATTAAATAACAAGGTTTTTAATCAACTGTTTATTGATTCCAGCAAGACAGTTCTGACGACAAAAAAACCACTGGGTAGCAGTGGAATTTATTTATGGGCTAGTGTTCTACATCAGAAATAATTAAAAATAGATTATTTTTCACCAAATCTAGAGCTTTTTTCTCTTTGAGGCAGCTCAATATGGATTAAATTAACTGCAAATAATAAATTAAAGGCAAACGGAAAGCTAAATTCAGGGCAGAGAGGTGCTCAGAGCTTGGCCATCAATCTTTGCTTTCTCTTGTTGTGACAAAAGCAGCCCAGGGTTTGCTGCCTGGATTTAGGCAGCAGAGACAAAAGGTTGGAGGAGTTGGGAATGGTTGGGAAGCCATCCTTATGGATCCTAAAGGGCCCCCATCCACAAAACCATCTTGAGGACAGGACGGTGTCACTTAACCACAAGGCAAAGCCTTATCCTCGCGGGTCCATTCACACAGACAGGACCAGACCCATTTCCCAGCATGGTGTAACACAGAGCCACCAGCACTGCCCAGGGGGTCGACCTCACCAGAACTCCAACTGCAACAACAGCTGAACACTGAAAAGTGTGAAACCACCAATGACATCCCGTGTCCCAGCCCCTGTATGCAAAGCTAAGAACCAATTCCTCTCTGCTCATCAGCCTCCAGGTCCAGCCAGGAGACAAGCAAGCCCATTTCATTCTCTTTAAACAGCTGCCATTTCTGCCACAAAGTGCTCCCACCACGGTGCATCACAGCCTGCAATGGGATCCAGGATGTCCCAAGGTTTTAATTACCCACGCTGAGGAAAAGAAGAACTGTTTAGGAGCACTAACATTTTCCATGGCTCCAAAAGGCTGAACAACTTTCTGCCAGTATATACAGCTACCTAGGGGTCTATTATTTTATTAAGGGATATTTGAAGTGCTCCATGACATAAGCAGATCCATAATATATATACAGCGTGTACGCATACGGAGCCATTTATAGAGCAAATCTTTCTAGCCCTGATAGTTTATAACGTAGAGGACCTTTAGTCTGCCATTGAACCAAAGCCAAACGCTGCATGTGCTGTTTAAATCAATGTAATGCAGAGAAGATATTTTTCTTTGGAGCCACGGTGGAAGCAGGATTCCCCAGGCAGTTTGACTGTCGAAACGGCAGCTGGCTGAAGCTGTGGGCAGGTCTGGGTCAACACAAGCAGTGCCTGTAGGAAGGTCCTGGCAAGCACTGGTCCAGGGAGGGGACCAAAGGGATGTGATAAATCAGCTTCCAGATTGCTGGGCTGTCCATGGCGACTGCTCCTGCATACATGGGGTGGGATGGCAGACAGAGATACAGCAGCAATGTCGCTGATGTAAGATCAGATGTGTCTTCTAGATCTATAGCCCTAGATCTGTTACATTAACATCTATATACAAAATACCAACACAGCAATTACACCGTGCCACACAACAGGTACATACTACCAGGCAGCTACATGCAAGATTATCTATATTTCAAAACCCCAATGCAATTTGCTCTGTTTTTCCATTTTGCACTCTGCTGAGTCTCCACATCTTCACTCTTAAATACAGCAGGGGTGACACTACCTACACTCACCATTTCACAGCTCCATTCTCATTCATTTCAGCACAGGAATTGCTCATTGTTAGGAAACCACCTCCCAGATAGGCCCACTGGACATCCCCTCTCTCTGTAAGCATAACCCCAAAGGTGCATGTTGTGTACATGAGGCTTCAGTGGGAATTTTACATGCCTAAGTTCTTGTTATAGGATGTTAAATTTTAGCTTCAAGATCTGTTTGAAGACACTCACCACGCCTGCATGCTTGGGACAGCACAACACCTTCAACTTTCCTTGCCAGTTCTTCATTTCACTCCTTCCAGGGCTGCTTTGTGCATGTGTAAAGCAAGATTCTCATGTCCCTTGGAGCTGCCCTGAGGTTTTGCTGATTGCCCTCTTCTGAGCAGGGAAAGCTCCATCCTGCCAGCTGTCGCTGTGAGAATCATAGAATTGTAGAACATTCGGAGTTGGAAGGGACCTACAAGGATCATCAAGTCATCAAAGGCAGCTTTTAATTGGATTTTCCAGACAATTAACACTGAGATACCTGACCCCTGGGATGGAGGAGATGCCCCACAGAGATGTGATGGAGACTGGTGCATCCACAGCCATGTATAAAACCAGAATCAGATCTGTAGAGCTGCCTGCATTTATTGCTGCCAAATGGTAAACACTTCTCATTTAAAGGGATGGCCACTCAGTTGCATGGTCACATTTTCCTTAATTTACTTCTTTATTTCTTTAACTTGTGTTAACTGTGTTTCAGCACTCAGAGTTGGGATCCCTGTTACTTTCACTTCTCCCATTGCACAGGAAGCACCCCAGGTAAAGCTGTATTTGAAGACTGACCAGGAAGGAAGGTGTGTATGTATTTTTAATTAGTCCCCATGATATGTTGGCCAGAGGATAACTCTGGCATTGCTCTGGCTTAACTCACAGGCATTACTCAACATGCTGGAGAAACTCCACAAGCACAGAAACCACAGAACATTTTGCGAGGAAGGGGAACACAGTCACAGTGGAAAACGGGGGCCTGGGCTCTTCTACAATCACCTCCTAAAGACAGCATACATGCTCTGAGCCTTACAAGACTGGATAGTACAACCTATGATGCCCTGAAGAGATGCCTAATACAAGAAGTTGCTTTGCAACTAAAGCGCACTGTGTGAGGCAGATCTTTGCCCTCAAATCATATCGATCATCTTGGAAACACCCACACACACCCTGCCAGCTCCCCACTGCAATTTTTCAGGGCTGAGGAAAGCTGCAAGCCCTGGGGCAGACTGCCTACCAGGCATTCCTGCAGAAATCCTCTCTGCCCATTCTTATCTACAAGCCCCCACCCTAAGCTTGCTTAAGGCACTGGTATCTAGAGTGCGCTGGCTGGAGCTCAGCAGCCATCTGGAAGAGCCTTGCTTCCAAGAGGCAGCTGGAAAACCAGTGCAGAGCACCCAAAGAGCTGTGCAGAGAGTGCCCACCATGTTCCTGCAGGACCCAACCACACCAGTGGGCAATACACCTCTCTGTACTGCTGGGCAAGGGAGCTAGATGGTGTGCATCCTGATACAGGGGCATGCAAGCTATGAATTCAGCCTCTGAGGTTGTGGGGTCATTCCAGGAAGTCACTGAGCATCCGGTTGAGCTCAGCAGGACAAGGTTAGATGGCAAAAGAGCATCACAGGAGTCATCACGAGCCCTCTCCAGCTCATTAGCCCCCCTTCCTTTCTTTCACCATTCCAACTTGATGAGTCCCTCGAAAGAGCGAGGTCAAAGATGAAGAAAGCAGTAAACATTTGCACTGAAGGAGACACTGTGAGAAGCTTGCATAGCAGAAAAAACAGAAAGAAAAAAAAAATCAAATCTATCCTGGGCATTTTCACCATCTGGAGCAGCACTCACTCAAGTAAGGTCCTTGCAGGGATTACCCCATTACCTACAAGCTCGAGTTGCACTGTATAATGCTGAAACTACAGGAAGAAATGGTGCTAGGCTCTTCAGAGATGGCAAACATCACTGGATTGCCCTAGGATAATGTCCTCATCCACTCTCTCTTCCTATTCCACATTAGCTGCAGGATACCAGGTATGCATTGACTGCCACGGGCACAGTTCACCCCTCCTGGCTCCAAAGAGATGCGACTGCACGGAGTCAGGGTGAGATGCCCAGGGCTGCCCTTATTGTACTTCATCTGCATGAATTCCAGAGAGCCTCTGGGAACTGGAGATTTGTCAGCATTTCCCATCTCACGTTTCCTACTGGAAATCCCTGCAGCTGGTGAGATTCTGTAATAGGTACCATTTAGCTAGCTAATGAAATCCACATGCAATCGTCAGAAAGATAACTGACACATTAGGACTCTAAGATTTGCACTTGGCCTTTTACAGTTTCCATCTTACAGCATGGCAGCTGCAGGGATGGCCAACAGGCAGCACTTCACTGCGCTCCACCTTGTGGTCCTTCCTCCCCAAGATTCAAAGTTCTACCTGCACAAAAGGCAGTTTAATGGTTTGTGGTTTAATGCAACATGGAGAAGGCTCCTCACCTCTCCTGATGACAGCACGCTGCTGTGTGTCTCATCTTTTTGGGTGGAGGCAGGCACCCTTCTTCCTTACCATCGTATCCTCCTATGACTTGTTCCAAGAGGCATTAATGTTGACTACCCTGCACGCTTCTATCATCTGCAAAACACGTCGCTTCATCTGCTTCATCCATGGGGGATTCTGCTACAACCTTTTTCCACCAGGAGAGCTTACCATGTATTCCATGCTGTGATTCTGTGATTCCTACCCCTTAGCCAACTACGAGGACCGCCTTCACCTCCTGCCATAACTTACAGCCAGAGCCTTTGATGTGAAAACTCGACAAAAGCTTTCTGGAAATCCACGTACACTCCACAGTTTGGATAGAGATCCTGGTGGAAAATGGCCAGAAATGCAAATTCTGTACAATCATCTCAAGTACATTTTTCCATAGGTTGAGCACTAATGTCCCTCGGTGGAGGGAAAGCCAAACCTACCACATGGATCTTTACATCCAACACTCTTGGTTCAGGCCAAGGTACGACTTTAAAGGAGATCCTCTGATTTTCTGTAGAAGCCTTGCGACGTGTGAACGTGTATCCAGACAACCACAACGCTTTGGGGCTAGGATGCCATCTGGAAATCATTAGAAAGCACAGACTCGCTCATGGGATTTCATGCACTTCCCGTCCGACATGGGAACAGTCTGTTCCTCATTGTTCGGCTGCTTCTGTTCCTCAACACATCAACTACAGACAGGAGAGTCGCAGCAAGTGTCCCCGTGCTGTGAGGTGCCTTTTTCTTCCTGTCCTTTTAATTCACTCCTTCGTCCCCAGTTTCAGGGCAGTAAGTTCCATCGCTCCCTCCCGCACTCGAGCACACAGGGCCCTACGGGAGCAGGGCAGCCTGTAACTTCTTTGCTGAGGCCTGAAGCCAACTGGAATGGGGAAATTTTGGCTTTTCAGGTCTTTTCTTTGTGTGTTTGTGTTTGATTTCTTCCTAAGTACAGAACAACACGGCGAGAGCACAGAATAAATTTCATTCCTCTTCTAACTCATTTCACAAACTGAACGGGATCTGTAGCTTTCCTGAGCTGCCTTGGGGACCCTCTGGAGTGTCTCACATGTTCATATTTCAGCCTTCTTTCTGTCTGCATTTTATGCATTCTTCCTCCAAAACGTCTCAGCTTCCTATCCCCAGTTCTTCCCTGCGTTTAAGGGGGATTTTTATTTATTTTTTTTTTTCTTATAGGCACATTGAGGCTGCAGATAAAACATGAAGAGCTCGATTTTCCATTGCTACACGGGTTTTTGCAGTCACTTCCACTGCCGAAAAGCAAACTAAAATGTCACTAGGAGTATGTTTTATTTATACCCACTTTCTGCTAAGTCAGGGAGATCAAAAATGCTGCTCTGTAGCATATCCTGACCAGTTGTCCTGATGTGATCATACATCTCAAGGGTAGAGAAGCAGCAGGTAACACACGCCCAGGTGCGATAACTCAGGGACCTCCCAGCCCTGTATTGCAGAAGAAACAAAGCCAGAACATCTGGATGTAGCCAGACCAGTTTGTGCATATTTACTGAACAAGCTTATTTACAATCTATTTGTTTCCATGCAGTTTCATCACATTCTTAACGCTGTGTCAAGAGCTAAGGCAGAGCTCTCAACATGTTTAATGACCAACGAGGGCCCCAGGAGGAGTCACGCAATGGTGTGAGAAAGAATGCTGCTCTTCAGAACTTCAGCCAAGCAGAAACACCTCCACAGAACTCCCTGCAAAGGACTGGAGAGGGAAGAAGCTTGGAAATGAAGACAGCAAACGCCAGGAAAACTGAGGGCAAATGAAAGGAAAGCAAAATATTTTAACAACTCATTATTCAAATAAAGTCATGCTGATGTTTTCATACCCAACTCATGTCCTCTGAGTCTCCGCCATAAGCAATGCTGCTTACCTACGTACACTGTGCAGTTGTGGCCAATCGAGGGCACGATGTGCTGCTGGGTTGGGTGGACGTGGGACTGTTCAGCCCTTTTTCCAAGAGGAAACATCCCCAATCTGCTAAAACCAGTAACAGCTGAATGTTTTGAACCACTGTACCTCAGCAGCACTCTATTTGTTGCAAAGGAAGCAGGAAAGATATCACTGCTTTTATTGCCTCTTGAACGTCAGCTGGCATCCTCTGCTTTGGGAGAACGCACTCTAATTGCACAGCCAGCCTTCCAAACACACTCTGCAAGCCTGCCACATGTGGCACTTCCAGTCGCAGTAATAACACAACAGCCAGCCAAGAAGCACAGCACAAGCACACCTCTGACCTGCAAGTGACCCACTAATTAGTGGCTGCCCAAGGTTAACGAACAGAGTGCTCCGTACAGGGAGGAGTGTTAGCAGTGCGAACTCCAACCTCGGTAAACTGGTAAATCTATGCCAGGAGGTGTTTACACATTCATTAGCAATGCTGGCAAGACAAAACACAACAGAAAATCCCCTTCCCGTTAATAGTGAGCTCAGAATAAAATGAGAGGTCTCTTTTTCCTGCACATAATGATTACCGCAGAGGTTGAATTGTAACTACAGAATTAGGCCCTGCATTTGGGAACTGCCACTAATCAGCTCGCAGAAGCTCAGGATGTTTTGCCAGTTGTTGTCTGCCATGGCTATGGAGCCAAGCATCTCATTTCATCCCATGACTAATAGGAAAACGGGGCTGGACACCCCAGATTAGAGTTGGACTGGCACTTCTAGAGAGCTGTAAGCATTCGGCCCCACAGCAGGGTGAGGGTTTGGACAGCCCTGGGTTCACACTGGGACGGAGCTTTTGCTCTCATTGGGTTTGACAGGAGCATCATCCAGATCTGAGAGGTCACATTTCCACTCTCGCTCCTCCTCTCCTCCCAGCAGGAGGATTATGCTGCAATAATCCAGGAAAAGGCAGATCTCACCCCACTGCTGCACCCTCTCTGAGCAGAGATAGCCATGATTTAGGGTCAACTCCACTTAACCAGCCCTACCCAAGCCAGGAGCTTTGGAGTAAGTGTGACCATTTGTCTGCTAGGTGCTTGTAGAAGGACACAAATAAGTGCCTGTTGCCTCCAGTCAGATTTATCACAGCAGGTCCCAGCTCTTTAGTTGCAGCAGCAAATCAATAGCAGAGTCCTTTCTACAAACTGCTGATCCTGATCTCCATCACACAGCAGCATGTACATATCCCAAAACGTACTCAATCCTCAGCAAAACTTCCAAAGGCACGATCTAAACCTAAGAAATATAACAGGCTAGAGAGAAACCAACAGGAGCACAAATATCCTCAGTAAGAGCTCTGCAGTCACAGCCCTGCATGTGGGTGATGGACAGAACACAAGCAAGGATTGCTACTAAGAAAAGAGGAACAGCTATTTTTATGTCCAAAGATTAATCTTGATGGGTAAGCCTTTTCTTGACAGCACCAAAAAGAAAAATACAGAAGCTATTTTTTGTCCTTCTTTTTTACAGAAGAACGTGCACCCTTCCAACTCAACCATAGCAACCCCAATGGCCTTCTGAGGATCTCCCATTTGGGAAAGGAGTGCCAGCTCTGCTGCCAGCTCTGCTGATCACCTCTAAGAGCCATTAACACTTGTTGTGCAGAAAGGAGCCGCTTCTCGCACAGCTCCCTGCACCCAGGATTCTCTCATCACATCTGACCCAAGAAGGAGAGCTTTTCTGCACATCACAGACTGAAGATCTTAGGGGAGAGAAAAAAAAGAGCCCCATTTCCTTCCTAAACTCATGGACTCTATCCACTAAGTTGGCCTCTCCCTGTTGCTGCCAAAGGAAGGAAAAGGCTTCCTGCTTTTAAGGCAGGTTAAACTCTGCTGGAAGACCCAGAGCAGAGCACTGCACTTTAGACAGGTATTTTTCAGCTACATTTGGGTGCAAAGATCTCCTGTGATCTGAGCAGGGATGATCAGCAGAGCTGCTCTAAGTCACTGGTGGTGAACACAATTCCTCTTGGGCCTAATCCTGGAGGATCGGTCCATGAGGGAGCTTCCCCATCATCCCCAGCGCAAGAGAGCAACATGAAAAGCTGGGAATAAACCATCAGTGGGAACTGGTTCAGCAGGAAACAACACAGTTGGGCAAAGGCTGAGAGAAGAGCACTGGAAAAAGAGGGGTTTCTGCCAGCACCAGGGGACGGAGCAGAGGATATCCACGCATGGTTTGCTGCATCCTGATCTGGAACAAAGATAATGCAGCGTGCTGGTTTTCCCTGGAGAGGTGGAGTTCAGCTGTCAGTAACTGTGGCTTATTCACTCTGCTGCAGCCTACCAGGCACAAAGCAATCTCTGAAGGAAAAGAAAAAAAAAAAAAGAGAGAGAGCTCTTTTCCCCCTATTGGAAGATGAGGGGATTTTTGCTCTAATCCCTAAACAAACACGTTTAATGCCATTAAACACTCACTAGCATTATCAAGACGTATCACTCTCATGCTGCTGCATGCAGAGCGCAGGCTGGGTTTCAGAGAGCTGAGCTCCTGTGATCACTTTGCACTCACAATTTGCCCTCAGTGGAGGGGGGAAAAAAAAAAAAACCTCTACTTTATCATTGTTCCCTGGGAACAGGAGGAAAGCAGTGAGTTGACTTCAGGGAAATAGTTTGGAAGTCTTTATGGGCCAACATCTGCAATTAGTTTTGAAGAATCAGTGCAAATAATCTCACAGCAAGTCAGTTCTCTCTCCTTCATCTCCCCTTTCTGCAGCCTTTTTCTCCTTTATCCCAGTTTGCCCATCCTGCTCTTCTCACTAACAATCGGCACACATCAGAGAGCAGCAGCTCTTCGCTTTCAGAGCAAGAGGATAAGGAACCAAAGGGAGAAAGTGAATGACAGCTGGGTTGGACATTCCCCGGCTCCCGATGCTCTTCAACAGAAAATATTTTCCCTTCTAGCTTAAAAATGAAAAAAGAAATCAGCAATATTGCCTGAGCCAACACTGAAGGATTGGAGCAGATGTCAGTATTCGTTTCATCTAAAACCAAATCATTTTCTGTTAAACGGGGAGACAGCTTTACACACTTTGTTTTAATGCGAATAACTGATAATTTCAAAGCAACGCAGCATCTCTTTGAAAAAGTGCATTCCTGGAACTGAGATTATAACGCTCTCTCCCTCACTAATAGCCATTTAAAAACCTGGATTTCTTGAGACTTGCATTTCCCAGACATTCCTGACCAGCTCTTTTTTGGGTTACCAGGATCAGATAACGCTGTGGGTAGGAGCTCAGCTCACCAGCACGAGGCGTTGGACGGGTGGCCCATCTCCAGCACGCCCAGAACCTGCTACCACCTGACTGATGCTCCACACCCTGAAGGCAAGATGAGCTCTGCAGATGCTCATCCCTTTGCCCATCGCTGTGGTAGGTCTTCTCCAGGCTCCAGGTGAACAAGATAATATTCACAGCAATAAATACTTGTTAAAAAAAAAAAAAAAAAAAAAAAGATTGGAAAGGATCTAAAATCACATTTTTGTAGGCTTCATGCAATGCTTCTGCAACTCCATCTCTTTCCATCACAGCATCCTTTGAAGCATACAGTTGTACTTACAGATATAGATTCAGCTATGCAATTCCTATCACTCTATGGAGCCCTACGGGACAAACCAGAGTGCCCCTCCATGGAAGCAACAACAAGGACAGGACCACCCTGGCTGGTGACTGCACCCATTTCCATCCTCCTGCTGCATCCTCACTTCCTCACCATCTCCAGCTGCCCATCAGCACTGCCTCTCTGACCGCACCATACTACCAGCACAAACTCCTTCCTGCACTGGGACAGGTCAGAGCAGCTTTGCTGGAGGACTTGGGAAGGGTGGACAAAGAGCTGGAAGAAATAACCCCTACAGCCACAACAGCTTGAGCCTGAGGGCAAATCCCCAGCTTCACAAATGCCCTCTGGTTTGCATTAGGGACACTTTCTTAAGGTCAGGGACATTATGACAGCACCATGTCAGCCAGCAATAACGCTGCTCTGCTCTGCACAGGGACCAGCAGTGACCATTCCATCATGGCTCCACTTCCACCTTGTGCAAAATGAAACTGCAATCATCCCTTCAGAGGAGGAAGGCATTGGCTTCCTAGGACTGTAACGATGATGAGGAGTTTAAACGTAACCACAAACATAAAACTTTAAAACTCTCATAAACAGATTTGAAAGTGAGCCAGAGGAACTGGTGTGAATGTGAGCTACTCCAGTACAAAGCAATAAGAAAGACACAGCCATAAACCTGGGCAAAAGGGAAGGGGGGAAATCAGCAAAGACTTGTGGGGTTTTTTTTATGTGTGCAGGAATTAGCTTGAAAATAAGACATTTTTATAAGTGGTGCAAGATTGGTTTTACTTTTTTTCTTTTTTTTTTTTCTTTTTTTTTTTTGCATACATTAATTGGTGAGCAAAGCCAGAATGCAGACACATGCCAAACGCAGATGTGTCAGCCCAAAGTTCTTCAGATGGCCCCCAGCCAGGTAAACATTTGACCCAAAAGCCCACCTAATTTCAGTGGGCCGAAGTCTGGAAAAGTGATTAACTATAGAAAGGCCAGTGTATGGCTTTGTACCTGGGGAACGCTGAAGCAAAGCAAAGGCTCTCAGGCCCTAATTAAAAACCTGCCTCTCGCCCGACGGAAAGCTGGAGCCGAGGAACGAAGGAAGCTGGGGCTTTTCCAACAGCGCTCATAAAGCTGTCAATAAGCTGAGAAAGTGGCCTTGATGGTGTGAAAAGTCATCTCTGAGAAAAAAGGAAAAAAAAAGTTGCTGCTCAATAAGGCCTAACAAATCATCCAGCATCGTATAAATGGCTAATTGAACAGCAAATTAGTAGTGTTTATGAAATCTAGACAGTCAGCTAGCAAAGACAAGTCAAGAGCGGGGCATTGTGAAGTTAGGTTCAGATTTTATCCCATTTTGGGCCTTTCTGGTGCTGCCCACGGCAGCATGGAGGGCTGCATAGGGAGCACAGCATTGCACGGCGTGCCCCACAGCCACCGTGTGCGCAGACCCATTCTCCAGACAGAGCTCCTGCAGCTGGAAGAAGTCCATCTCCTTATCTTTACAGACTCCAGAGCTTCCAGAGGCCTAGAATGGCTACTTCTCTTCATAAAATTAATGGCATGCTTTTTATGGCTTCCAGCTACAGCTGGGAGCCCGATTCTGCATGGAAGGGACTGTTAATACAATTACTGGGCTGGTTTTACACTGTAAATTCTCCATTGTTTTCTTTTTGCTGTTGGGGAGCCTCTCATTGAGACGTGCCCTGGAAATCAGGTAGGGCTGTTAGCGCAGCTGGACCCAAAGGTCTGGGGCACTTGCTTTATATAAAACATATTTTCTGGGTTTATAATGGCAATAAAAGCGCTCCCTTCTTGCCAAAACTTGGCACTGACGTTTCAGAGGAGCTCTGGAGAACAGTTTTTGGAAAATTTTGAAGAAAATACTTGCAAACCCCGTGTGTTTTAGGCCCAGAGGCTTCAGCGGGGTTCCCACAGAACGCCATGAATGACCTTCAGCTGCACACGAGCTCAAAAGGGACTTCCAGCTCCTGACCCCCAATTAGGAAGCAGTACAAAATTAACTCAATTGCACGTCCTTGAACCTCCTGCTGTGAATTCAGTTATACATGTTTATTGTTTGGTGTTTTATACCAGAAGAGTTAGCGCCACACGGGGAAGCTGAGCTGTACCAGTGCAAACCTTCATACTGTTATGACCATGCCAAGGCAATTCTGAATGTGCACACAGTCACATTGGTTTAGAACATCTCGGTTTTATCCACTGTGGCCATATCGAGTATCAGTCAGACATAACCAAACAAGCAATGGAAAGCAAGAGAGGAAGCACAGCTCAATTTGAGTGCATTTGTTCACCAGGAGGAGAGCAGCCAGGAAACAATTTTCCCTTCCCAGAAGAGTTTTCGAGATTCCCCACACTGAACCAAATGTATTTACTCTCAAAAATCTTTAGGTGGTGAAACATAGGAAGGAGAGGGGAAACCTCAATGGATGAATAAAAAATAGGATTTGTCTGTTTTTACCTTGTTTTCAGGCAAGATGCAAATTTCAGCCAAAAACAACTTCTTGAAATCTATTTCAGAAAACACTGACTCAGGTTATTTAGGAAACTAAGCCAATGCAGGAGAAGTAAAGTCCTTGCAAGGATATATCCCAGTCAAGAGCTAGGAAACTGGGAATAAATGGTCAGTTCTTGCAAGGGAGAGAGGTCAGCACGGGAGCCCTGGAGAGATCTGTGTCATTAAAAATGGATGCTCACAAATGACCTGGAAAAGGGCACAAGCAGCCAGGTGAGGAAGTCTGCCGACGATGCTAATTTTGAGAGCACCAGGATGAACTGCAAAACAACTTTATGATACAGTGACAGGTCATCGAAGAGCAGATGAAGTTTGATGCAGAGAAATGTAAACGGATTCACAAAGGGAGGAAAAAAATCTAAACTTCCTATAGAAAATGATGGGCTGACCATTACCACACAGGAGAAATACCTTGGGGTTGTGACAGATGGACCTGTGAAACATGAGCTCATTACACAGCAGCAATTAAAAAAAATCCATCATAAGAAGTTATTACGAGGAAAGAACAAACCAGAGAACATCATTACATCACAGCAAGTCTCTGCTTCCCCTGCATCCTGATCGCTGCAAGGAGACATTCCCTCACCTTAAAAGAGATATCAGGCAATTGCAAAAGATGCAGCAAAAGGCAAGAAGGCTGGTCCTGCGGTCCCATATGGGGAGGGTCAAGAAACTCCCCAGCCCAGAACAGAGTTACCTATAGAAGGAAACGACTGAAATCCATGAAACAACAGCAACAATTGGTCCTTCTTTCCTTCCCTTTTCCCCCCAACATGTTTTTTCCTTACAGAAATACTTTTTCCTTGTCATTTACCTTTTCCCTCACAGTCAATTTCTTCTCATTTCCAGACCAGAGCCAATTCTGTAGGGATCCATCACACTTGTTGCTGTTTTCACGGGACAGCAGCCGTGCTGAGTGCTAAGTTAATTACCCATCAGTTCCCACTTCCTCCACGTCCAGCAGGTTGGAACAATCGCTCCTTTCTAAGCCCATCCTCACTCCCACCATCACCAACACACTTGGGGAGACCCTGGCAGCCTAGGTGGGAGAAGAAGGAATCCTCCAAGTCCCTGCAGCAGACCAAGACCTCCACAACAAGGGCATGCTGCCACCATGTGTGTCCATTACTAAACTTATAAGCTTGGGGATGTAAGGCAGGTTGGTACAGCAGCGTTCAACAGCACTGATACAGAATAGGTAACAAGGTAGATACAATCCTCAAGTCTTACGAAGGGTTTTTTTTCCCTACAGATTATATTCTAAAACTATATAACTCATAGAACAGGAGACTTATAGAGCAGCCCTGGGCCAGACAGCAATAGGACCTCTGATCATGCATTGAATTAAGTTTCCTCCTGCACAAAACCCTCGCACAGCCAGTTTCAGTAAGCTGAAGCTCCTTCTCTGATGCTTCTTCTATTCTACTTTTCTAGCTTCCTGCACTGAGGTCAGCCCTGGGCTATGTTCAGACACTGCTCACATCTCATCACACTGATGATGTGGTTGATGGATACATGAAGCCACATCTCTCACAGTAAGAGTACTTGCAGGTAGCCTTTCTCTGCAGCCAAGAAAATGCATCTAGCAGCACCTCCAGCAAGAAAGCCTAGAGCATGTTTTTTCTTGTAGTGACTGATAGCAGGACAGGGAACAGCGTGGGGCCAGAAGTGACCAGAGTGGCATTGCAGAACTTGTCTTCAGGGTATTAGAGCAATCAGCTTTGCCACACTTACCAATATTATCAAATACCTCACCTCCATAGCTTTCCAACACTGATGAGCATCCTTGCAACCCTCCCATTACCTCTGACAACAGCCCCAGGTTCCTGCAGTCCAGACAAACAAGAAATGCTGAAAATGCATTTACGCATCTCCAGAGGCAGCAGCAGCCAAGTTTCTCCATCCCCATGGGAGCTGAGTATGAGGCAGACTCATTCTCCAGCATGGTTGCTCCTGCTTCTTTCTTTGCAGAGAATGTTTAGGGAACATCAGGGCATTCCCCTGCAGATCTGAAAGCAGATCTTCCAGGGCTGTTGGCTCTCCCAGGAATAGATTCCTGACCTGACCTTACCTTACAGCAGAGACCACCGCTGTGAAATGAAATATGGCTTTGGAAGTTGTGTTTTTATGATCTATGAAATCACCCAGACCTCTAGGGTAAATAAATTCTGAATATGAAGCTGACCTCTTAGCTTTTAGCATATCAGTAAAGCCTTGAGGTTTTTCATTAAGCTTAAATAACATCTAAGAAGTCCCTGTTTTCTACCCTTTCTTTAAAATCCCAAGGAGGTGAAGCCTCGTGGTAAATTTTGCTTCAAATATCAGCTGGGGATACAACTTCATTAAGAGTAATACCTTAACTGCAGAGTGCCAGGGGCGAGCGGGGCTATGCACACAAGACTTTTCTACCACACATTCCTTCGTGCCTCTCAATCTCAGACTGGTTTTCACAGCTCCAGCTGATTTCAGTCACTGAGCATCCAAGGGACAAGACCCAGACAGAGGAGCACCTCTTCCATTCCACAGTCTTGCATCAGCCACCACAACCCTACCAGAGCGATCCCAGACCAACCTGCCATCGCAGCCATGAAGGCTCCAGTGGACTGATTAGCAAGAGAAGGCCAAGGGTGAAAAGGGACAAAAGCTTCACACACATCCCATATGGCTTTCTAGCACCTCTCCCCTATCTCCAGAAAGTGGATAACATTACTTGGAGGGGAAAAATCCAGATGCTGCCAGCAGCTGTATTGGTTCCAAAGAAGTGTGGTTAAATACCTCACTGGTACAAATCACTGTAATTTCCCTGAAGTCAAAGCCAACTTGCCACTGCCCAGAAGCGGGTGCATAGGGCATAGTTCATAATGGTTGGATTACAGGAGGTGGTATCCCTGAGCTCCTCAGGCACTTGGCAAATTGAGACCATCGACACGAACAGAAAGCCTGACTTCCTTTGTGCCTGAATCAGCCTCCACATCTCCACCTCTGATGGAAGCAGCGGGTTGGCAAAGCCTTTCCCCTTCTACATGAGCCACTTGGTTCACATTAACTATAAAAACCACGTAAGACTACAAAAGAGTGATTCATAGGGAGAGGCAAAAAAGGAGAAATAGCAGCTCTCAAGTCTTTATTAGGATGCTGGAGGCCTCGACACGGGCTGGAGCATACCCAGACATTGCAGGATCCAGCTATCTTTCAGAATGATGTCACTGAGCACACCCATGTGCCAGCTGGGCTCTGTAATGTCTCTCCTCTCACCCTCCACCCGTTCCCCCAGCCCCTGGTACAACACTCTCCCAGCTTGCTGAGCTCACTTCCCCTCATAAGACAGATTTTTGATGAAGTGGAGCAATGGTAACCACATGGGCTCCTTCACCTTCATCCACATCATCTGCTCCCGCAGGCACGGCTCAGCGGATGCAGGATTTTACACACTGGCTCATAAGGAGAAAGAGCACACAGTCTGGATGGAGCGCACCTTGTCACCTGCATCATTTTGTTTTCATCTTATTTTTTCATAGTTGATTTTCCTTCTGTTTTCATTTGTTGGCTCAGCTCCACTCCCAGCCTTCTCAGCCCCGTAACACTGCCATGTTTGGGATATGCACATTTCCACTCCCCCCCCCTGCCAGCTAAAGAAGGGCCAGG